AGGAGCTAGAGGTGGTCAAGTACTGCTGCAAGATCATGGATCTGTGAGTGGAGTTGCGGTTTGAGCTGGAGGCAGTGGAGAAGCTTTACCTGGAGGTCGTGGATCTGCAAGAGTTCTTGGATTGAAGACTTTATCTTGATCTACTGGGCTGATGCTCATTCCTCCCAGGTAAGTTTGCAGAATGATGTTGATACTCCATTAGCTCAACGGTGTCTTCCTCTGCGCAGGCCCGGGTGTTCACACCAGCGCTGGGGTACTGTGGAACGTGTGCAGCAGAAGGCGAGAGTCTCTCCTTTCAGATCCTCACCTAGGACTGATTTGCCCCTCAGATGTAATGGGACTGAACATTGGTGACTGCATAGTTTCGGCACATCTGTAATTCACTAAAGGTAAGGTGTGTTTGTTCTCTTTTCCTGTTGCTCGTGTTAATGAGGTTTCTGCAGGTCTAAGCATGGAGCTGTTCTGCATGCACTGATGAAGATCTGGTTGCAGCAGATGGAGGTCCTGAAGAGAGGAATCCAGGAGTCTGATCAAGATGCTGCAGGTGGTTCAGGACTGCTCATCGCTGAGGACGCATGGTTTAGTAGACATTTCTCTAAATGAATATGTTGGTATAAAAGAACAAACTGCTTTTTTATATTAACTAATGTTTTCTGAGTGTTCTAGGCTTCATGCTGATGGTTTACTCGCCAGAAGATCTGCAGGATCCTTCATAATATCTGACATAAATTAATTCACAATAATGTGAGTGTGCACTACAGACAGCACTAAAACTGATGATATTTTGTCCACTAATACTGGTCTGCCATTTTGAGTGCAGGTGGGAACTCGAGCTGCAGTTGGAGAAGCAGTGAAGAAGCTTTGCTGGAGGTGCTGGATCTGCAAGCTCAGTTCTTGGGTTTGAGTCTTGCTTGATGAAGTGGACTGATGTTTGCTTATCTGAGGTAAGTTTTGTGGAATGATGTGTATACTCCATTAGCTCAACGATGTCTTCCTCTGCGCAGGCCCAGGTGTTCACACCAGCATTGGGGTACTGTGGAACGTGTGCAGCAGAAGGTGAGGGTCTCTTCTCCCAGCCTTTCAGACCCCCACCTAGAACTGGTTTGCCCCTCAGATGTAATGGGACTGAACATTGGGGACTTCATAGTTTTGGCACATCTGTAATTCACTAAAGGTAAGGTGTGTTTGTTCGTTCTCTTTTCCTGTTGCTCGTGTTAATGAGGTTTCTGCAGGTCTAAGCATGGAGATGTTCTGCATGCACTGTTGAAGATCTGGTTGCAGCAGATGGAGGTCCTGAAGAGAGGAATCCAGGAGTCTGATCAAGATTCTGCATGTGGTTTCAGCACTACTCATTGCGGAGGACACATGGTTTAGTAGACTGTTATTCTCTAAATGAATATGTTGGTATAAAAGAACAAACTGCTTTTATAATTTTGTTTTCTGTGAGTGTTCTAGGCTTCATGCTCAACAGAAGATCTGGATCTGAACCCCTGTTGCCTCTCCAGGATGCTTTATAATATCGGACCTCAGTTTATTGACAATAACGTGAGTGTGCACAGCACTACAGACAGCAGAAATACTGAAGAATATTTATATATTTATTTATTTATAATTCACTAATACTGTTATCTTTAAGTGCAGGTGAGGTCTTGGGTCTGCAAGCTAAGTTCTTGGATTTGAGTTTTGCTTGAGGTACTGGACTGATGTTTGCTTGTTGGAGGTAAGGTTCTGGAATAATACTCCAATCAGCTTGACTGTTTTCTCTGCACAGGCCCACTACAGGGCCTGTCCAGGTTTTTGTTCCAGCACTGAGGTACTGCGGACCATGCGACAAGCAGAGGGCAAGGTTCTGCCAGCCTTCCAGATCTCCACCCTGAACCGCTTGGCCCCCTCTGAGACTGACTGGAACTCTAAACATTGGCCACTGAAGGTAAGTCACAAACTTTTCCTAATGCTTGTCTTAATATCTTATGTTAAAGTTTTCTGCAGAGGCGGAGTTAAACTGCTGTCAGTCATCATCTCCAGGAGTCTCCACACTAGACCAAGTAAATTTCTCTGAGCATTTCACACACTCTGAACACTACACAGACCCATCAAATAACATTTTTATATTTTGTCTTTAGTTTTTATACAGTGTTGGGTGAGGAGCTAGAGGTGGTCAAGTACTGCTGCAAGATCATGGATCTGTGAGTGGAGTTGCAGTTTGAGCTGGAGGCAGTGGAGAAGCTTTACCTGGAGGTCGTGGATCTGCAAGAGTTCTTGGATTGAAGACTTTATCTTGATCTACTGGGCTGATGCTCATTCCTCAGGTAAGTTTGCAGAATGATGTTGATACTCCATTAGCTCAACGATGTCTTCCTCTGCGCAGGCCCGGGTGTTCACACCAGCGCTGGGGTACTGTGGAACGTGTGCAGCAGAAGGCGAGAGTCTCTCCTTTCAGATCCTCACCTAGGACTGATTTGCCCCTCAGATGTAATGGGACTGAACATTGGGGACTTCATAGTTTCGGCACATCTGTAATTCACTAAAGGTAAGGTGTATTTGTTCGTTCTCTTTTCCTGTTGCTCGTGTTAATGAGGTTTCTGCAGGTCTAAGCATGGAGCTGTTCTGCATGCACTGTTGAAGATCTGGTTGCAGCAGATGGAGGTCCTGAAGAGAGGAATCCAGGAGTCTGATCAAGGTGCTGCACGTGGTTCAGGACTGCTCATCGCGGAGGACACATGGTTTAGTAGACTTTTATTCTCTAAATGAATATGTTCGTATAAAAGAACAAAATGCTTTTTTATATTAACCAATGTTTTCTGAGTGTTCTAGGCTTCATGCTGATGGTTTACTCGCCAGAAGATCTGCAGGATCCTTCATAATATCTGACATAAATTAATTCACAATAATGTGAGTGTGCACACTACACTACAGACAGCACTAAAACTGATGATATTTTGTCCACTAATACTGGTCTGCCATTTTGAGTGCAGGTGGGAACTCGAGCTGCAGTTGGAGAAGCAGTGAAGAAGCTTTGCTGGAGGTGCTGGATCTGCAAGCTCAGTTCTTGGGTTTGAGTCTTGCTTGATGAAGTGGACTGATGTTTGCTTATCTGAGGTAAATTTTGTGGAATGATGTTAATACTAAAATCAGCTTAACTGTGTCTTCCTCTATACAGACATGGTACATGGGCTGCTGGGGTACTGTGGACCATGTGAACTGCTGGAAGTCTGGCAGTTGAACCTTGCCTCCTGATCTCCACCCTGACCCTCTTGGCCCCTTCTGAGACTGACTAACTCTAAACATTTTCTGCTTCATCTGGCACATCTGGGTTAAATCCATTGAAGGCAAGTCATTTTCCTCATGATTCTTTACTATCTTGTTAATGTTTTCTGCAGAGCTGGAGTTACACTTGTCACTCCTGGTGTGAAAACTCCTGGAAATGACTAAGTAAATTTCTCTGAGCATTTCACACTAGCACTATTTCTCTCCTTTTAGTGTGGGTGAGGAGCTTGAGGTCGTGAAGCTTTGCTGAAAGATCATTGAACTGCAAGTGGAGCTGAAGTTTGAGCAGGAGGCAGTGTAGAAGTTATGCCTGGATTTCCTGGATCTTACTGCTTGGTTCTTTGTATTTAAGACCTGCTTGATCTACTGGGCTGATGCTTGTTCATCTGAGGCAAGTTCGCATGATGTTGATCCAATGAGCTTAATGTTGTCCTACTTTGCCCAGGTGTTCACACCAGCGATTTGGGTACAGTGTAATGTGCGGCAGAAGGTGAGGGTCTCCTCCCGGCTTTACAGATTCCCACCAAGAACACTTGCCTCAGATGTAATGGGACTGAACATTGAGGATGAGTTTGGTACATCTTTTTTCCACTTAAGGTAAGGTGTGTGCGCACATGTTAATGATGTTTCTGCAGGTCCCTGCAATGCGGAACTCTAAGCATGGAGCTGTTCTCCATGCACCGTAGAAGATCTGGTTGCAGCAGATGGAGGTCCAGAAGAAAGGAATCCAGGAGTCTGATCAGGACTTCTATTGGCAGAGTACACATGGGTTAGTAGACATTTCTTTAAATCAATATACTGGCTTAAAAGAACAAACTACTCTTAACTATTTTTTGTGAGTGTTCCAGGCTTAATGCTGATGTTTTGCTGCCCAGCAGATCTGGATCTGAACCCCTGTTGCATGACATCTCCAGGATCCTTCATAATGTCAGACAAGTTAATACAACAGTTTGCACTGCACTACAGACAGCAGTAATTCTGATTAAATTAAATTTCTAATACGGTCATCTTTTTTTGAGTGCAGGTGAAGGCTTGAGCTGCAGTTGGAGCAGAGGTCGGTCGAATCTTTGTTTGGAGTTCCTGGATCTTCACATGGTCCTTAGATGAACAAGCATCAGCCCAGTAGATCAAGCTGGTCTACAGAGGTAAGTTTGCAGAATGTTGATTCTCCAATGAGGGCTTAACACTGTCCTCCTGCACAGGCCTAGGTGTTCACCAGCGCTGGGGTACCAGGGAACGTGTGTAGCAAAAGGTCTGTCCTCTCCAGCCTTCAAGATCCCCATTTAGAACGTAATGGGACTGAACATTGGCGACTCCATAGTTTTGGCACATCTGTAATTCACTAAAGGTAAGGTGTATTTGTTCGTTCTCTTTTCCTGTTGCTCGTGTTAATGAGGTTTCTGCAGGTCTAAGCATGGAGCTGTTCTGCATGCACTGTTGAAGATCTGGTTGCAGCAGATGGAGGTCCTGAAGAGAGGAATCCAGGAGTCTGATCAAGATTCTGCATGTGGTTCAGGACTGCTCATCGCGGAGGACACAATGTTTAAATCCAGTGAGGTTGGTCAAACTTTTAATGCTTGTCCTAATCTTTTTTTTTTTTTTTTTTTTTTTTTTGGTGCAGAGCTGTAGTTAAACATCTCTAGGAGTTTTCACCATCGACCAGGTAAATTTCTCTCAGCATTTCACACACTCTAAACACTAAACAGACCCATCAATTAACATTTAAAAAAAAATATATATATATATTTTAATAGTGAGGAGGTTTAAGTTGTGAAGCTTGGCTGGAAGAACATTGCACTGCGAGTGGAGCTGCAGTTTAAGCAGGGAGTGTAAAGGTTTTCCTGGAGGTCCTGGATCTACTGGGCTGACGCTTGTTCATTTAAGGTAAGTTTGCAGAATGTTGTGTCAATAGCCGCGTTTCCACTATCGTGCCTAAAGCGAGCGAGCCAAGGCCAGTGGCGTTTCCACTGTCACTTCCGGGGCCTAATCGGGCCAAAGCGGGGCTTTCTTGGGGCCAACGGCCAGCCTTTTTCGGCCCGCCGAATACCTTGGGCCAAGGAGGGCCAGCCGGGGCTTCGGGGCGGAGTGAAAGGAGAGGCGGGCACAGTTTTCCGATCGCACTCGAGTACATGCGCCAAACAAATAAATAAATAAGGGAAAGAAAACATCTGGAACAAATTATAGGCTGGGGGCTTTTTTTGCATATGATCGCCCTTAAGTTTCTCTTTTAAATGTAAGGCTGTTGCATAAAATGATCTTTCTTTGCTGCATCTTTGATGTTTCAATAACGCATAATAATCTTTACACCATATTAAAGACACAGCAGACAGTAAAGGTTTTCAAGAGGTTTTGTCAAGTTTAATACTGTAAGTGTGTTTTTGCGCGTTTAGATGCCTGTGTATGTGTGTGAGACCGAAAAAAAAAAAAAGAGCGCTCCATTCATAGCTCTGTTGATGCCGCGAGCGGCTTTTTTCTTATTTTTATTGTTTTAATTTATTTTCGAGATAATACACTATATGAATACAACAGTTGGACATTAAACTTTACAAATTTCATGTCCACTTTTGTAGGCTCAAAACAATAGTGTCATATCTAGATAAAATAGCCCTATATTGAAATAATTTAAAGAATTACAAATATTAGATAGGCCTATAATAAAATAACATTAAATAAATAAACCAATATAAAACTAACAAAAGCTATAGCTATAAAAATTAGGTACTATATCAAACTGTTTCAAATTTATATTAAACTTTCATTTTTCAAAAGCCTCTTTGAAAAAAAGATTTTAGATATTTTCTAAAAAAATAAAAATAAATAAACACCGGAAAATGTTTTAAATATTATTTATAAAGTATTTGGATACGATGAAATTAATCAAATCATGAAAATAGAGCATTTTCGGGGTGAGTGAAAGCAGAAATAGGCGACCTTTTTTTTCCTGTCTGCAGCCGCGCAGCACTTTTTTGACGGGAAAAACTGCAAGTTCAAAATGTGTTCTGTGTCCTCAAACAAGTGTGTGTGTTTTTATATGACGTGGTAAAATTAAAAAAGGAAATTTTAAATACATAAAGAGCTTTATTAGTGCATTGCTGCTGAGCGCAACGAAATAGGCTATATTTTATTACGTGCTGCTCTTATGTGCTGAAACACTGAACACTTTCCTTTACTTAAGATATAATAAGCAACATCTTTAAATAAAGGGAATCACCTATGAAGAGTAATAAAGCCTATAGGGGGAAAAAATCATGTTTCAGTTCTCTCCGGAGCATTTGGGATGAATGTTGGACAGATTCTGTCTAGAAGATGTTATAAAATACATTTTATATCGAGTTATTAACGGAGAAATTTATATATGTGGTGTTATATTATGGATGTGTGCACTCCCTGTGCTCCGGGTCCCTTCGTTGGTGGCAAGACCACTGGATTTCGATGCCAGTGGGTCGGCGAGTAAATGAATATGATGAATGAAAACACACAGGCATGTGCGTATAGACATGCGTTGTACTGCTGTACAGTAACGTGTAATTTGTTTGTTTTGGTTGTCCTAATTTTAATAGTTTCGTGATGATGTGATGGTGTGCTTTATCTGCATGATTCTCGCTGAAGTGGGCGGTTTGAATGACGTTTGATTCGGGGGATGTTTTGGGGGCGGGGTTTGCGTGACGCGCTGCCAGCTACAAGCCCCACAGTGGAAACGCGACATGATTTCGGCCTCACTGCTCAACCTCCCGGGCGATTGGCCTGGCCCGATATAAGCCCTGGCTCGCACTGGCCTGATAGTGGAAATGCGGCTAATGAGCTCAATGATGTCTTCTGCACAGGCCCAGGTGTTCACACCAGCGCTAGGGTACTGTGGAACATGTGCAGCAAAGGAGAGGGCCTTCACCCAGCCTTCCAGATCTCCCCCTACTGGTTTTCCCCTCTGGTGTAATGGGACGCTTCATAATATCTGACCTAAGTTAATACATGACGTAAGTGCGCACACTACAGACAGCAGTAATACTGATGAATGTATAAGTGAATAAACTGTTTTACCTTTTTCGAGTGCTGGGAAGGCTTTTAGCTGAATGTTGGGAAGGAGTCAGTCGAAGATTTGCCTGGAGGTCCTGAATCTGCATGCACGTCTTGGATTTGAGTTTTGCTTTTTAACGACGCATACGTTTATCTATTAGTTTGGTTTAATACTCCGATTAGCTCAACTTTGTTTCTCTGCACAGGCTCCGTAAATGACCAGTTCAAATATTACTCCAGTGCTGGTGGACCATGTGTAAAGCAGAAGGTAAGGTTCTCCTTACTGACTGCTTTTTAGATGTCCACCCAGAAGTGCTTTGCCTCCTGGGCTAATTTATTATCCATTGCAGGTCTGTTTCCCCAGTGCTCATGTTGATGCATCTCTGCAGGCTCCAGTGATCCTGAATGCTGGTGAACATTAGCTGTTGTACTCTGGAGTGGTGAACATCGGGCTGCTGCAGAAGGACATTCTGAAGAGTGGTGTTGGGAACCTGATGGAAACCAGTCTTCTACGTACTGACAAGAATATTATGGGTTCAGTAGAATCTTTGCTCTGAATGAAGGGTTATCCTGCGGTGAACATGCATGGCTTTTAATTACTGCTGTGTTTTTGTTTTTGTCTGCCTCCTAGACTTGTCCGTGCTGTCTGTCTGCACCCTAGCTGAGCTGGACCAGAACTCCTGTCAGACAACTTTGTGCTCCAAGTAAATTTCTCTGAGCGTTTCACAAGCTAAGCTTTTACATGCTCTGAGCTAATATGATTGCCATGTGGTTTTTATATAAGTGTGGGAGCTAGAGGTGGTGAAGATTTGCTGTAAGGTCATGGATCAGAGGTGATCTGTGCTTGATCTGTGGGGCAGATGCTTGCTCTTAGATATGTTTGTAGCATGATACTGACACTAACCAACCCAACTCTCTTCCTCTGTACAGGCTTGGGCTACAGGTTGTGACCTGTCCAGGTGTTACTCCAGCACTGGGCTACTGTGGTCTATACGTGTCGCTGAAGATGAGGTTCTCTTGTTCCAGATCTCCACCCAGAGCTGCAATGCCTCTCTGAGATGGCATGAGACTGATCATTGGTAAATCCATAGTCTGGTTCATCTGAATTAAATCCTACAAAGGTAAGGTGTGTAATCTTTTTCCTGGTGCTCAAGTTAATGAAGTTTCTCTTTGTAAGTGTCTGATCTCCTGAATGCTGATGAGCATTGGAGCCATCATCCTCCTGCATGCAGTGGTGAGCAACATAAGGCTGGAGTGTCTGAAGATCAGAATTCAGTAACCTGCTCATGACTGTTGGTATTCTGGATCGTTTTAAGACGTTTCTGTACATGCTGAAAAGACAAGGTTAGTCTGGTCTAATTTAATTGTGATTTGATTAATTACTGTTAACAACCTCACCCTTTCTGTAGATGTCCTAGGCATTTCAGTGTTGGGCATCTGCATCCCAGCAGAGCTTAAGATGAACTTCTGTTTGACAACGTCTCCAGGACTCTTTAACATTTAGTTTAAATGGCATTGCTTAAAGTCCAAATACAGGAGATCAAAAACATCGTGCAGCGTCATAAGCATCAAGCAAGCCGGTGGTGACAGTGCTGAGGAACCTAACCTTCAATTGATTAAAATGGAGAAATAAACTAAACTTTGAGAAACCAGGCTCAGTTGGACATGACCCCTTCTTTGAGCAAACTGAGAGACTTATCGCCTACAATTGACTTTGAAATCTTGGGACTAAGCGAAGTAAGCATAGTGGATGTAAAGGCTACAATACACCAAGAGCTTTCTGAAATCCCTGCGACCTAAGCTGTTCAGGGCTTGATAGCTGATTTTAAAATGTATATTATATTGAATGGGGAGCTAATGCAGTGATGACAGAACTGGAATATTATGATATTTCTTTGCTCTAGAAAGGACTCTAGCAGCTGTATTGACTCTCCTGTCCCTCACCCCCCTTAAGTCTACAAGGCTGCTTGGTAACTATGCTATCATTAATATGGTGCAAACTGTTGTAACATCAGAGTTTGTCAACATCAATCAGGGGAAAATTCTTTAAGAAACATATATTTTATTTTTACAATTGTTTCTCTGTAAAAAGTACCACAGTTGAGCAGATGCAATCTTTTGCTAAGTAACTGTACCCAACAGAGCTTAAACCAACCGTCTGTTGGACAATATTTCCTGGATGCTGCACCATGTAAGTCATGTCACTAAAAGCACTGTGCCCTCCATACTACAGAAGCTCTGCTAGTAGGGTTTATGTCTGCAAGCTCAGTTCTTGTATGAGACACTGATTTAATTCATCTTCATTTCTTTTACAAGGTCCATTGTCAAATCAGCTTAGCATTGATGGTAATAAATTAACTATGTTGGTCTAGTTTTCACAGTAGAAATTCTGTTTAGTTTAAAGCTCACAGCTAAAAGTCCAAGCACAGAAGAGTAAATTTACTGTTGCGCAGCTACACAAACAAGATTAAGAGCTAAATCTATTTTTTGTATGTCTTCCCTTTTGGCTCTTAAAACCGAGTGTAAAGGAGAAGTGTTTAAAAAATTAACGGCTAAGAATCGGGACAACACCTGCAGATGTGCTATTGTCACAAACTCTTGCTTCATGTTAGATCAGATGATGGGGACTGTAGTTATTCCAGGTGGGTTATTATTTTGTGGGATTTATCATCATGAAACCACTGAAGGTATATATCATGTTATCACCCTATGATGTGGCAATAAGACCCTAACTGAACTGTGCATTAAACAGTGGCCATGTTCATCTGTGTAAACACCAAAAACAACATGAAAGTTATAGCAGACACTGCAAACAGCTCATTCCCAGACACTAGGCTTTTTCTGACAGGGTAATGGCGTGTCAATGTTTTGGGACTGCTGTATAGGAGTTATTCAGGATCACAAACTTAGTGGTTTTATTTTATTTATTTTTTTTAAGCATCACTGTAAAACATAAACATGGTTTAATACATTAAAAAAAAATTAGTCGTGACAAAAAAAACAAAAAACAAATTTGTGCTCCTGACCGGGTGTAGTGATCCTGCTGTTGTGACTGATGTATCCTAAATGGTGATCAGAAAAGTCATCAGTCTCCTGCACAACTTAACATTATCTATTATTATTAGTCGGTCTAGTGTATGGTTATGTCGATGAGTAGTCCCTCAGACATGGTTTAAGAAGGCCAGACTTAAAGCTTCTTTGTCATTACCTATATGAATAATAAAATCCCCCAAAGTTATATCTTTTTATCTGTGACCAGAGCTATTTTGGTTACAAGAATCAGCAAAATGTTTTGTAAAGTCAGTGTGGTGTCCTGGAGGCCTATATACAGCTGCCAATATAAATTTAGGTTGAAACGTATTGTTTAAATTGCACACAAAAATATACAACACTAGTGCTTCAAATGAATTCTAATTTAAGTCTGATCGCAGAGTGACACTAAAATATTACTATATACTATGCGTTCACCTTGCCTTTAAGAAGAGACTTGTTTGTAACAGTAGCCTTCAGGTGAAGACTTCTTTAGGGTCCATCTATAATTCATTTGCAGTAATAGTGTTGTATTTATCAGTGATTTGTTATCTGAAATAGTACTGCCCACAGATAACATTTTAATTGTTGATTTTAATTTTCATAAAGATAAAGGTGCTTTTAAATCTGGCCTTAATTATACTAGCCTCAGTTGGAATGAAACGGCATGTCTCAGTCTACTCATCGACATAATCATTTCCTAGACCTAATGTTAACACATGGTATGGATGTTGATAATGTTGAAGTTGTGCAGCTGAGTGATGACATTTCAGATCACCATTTAATGTATTGTTTATTGTGCATTGATAGGTTTACAAATCATCTTCTGTTCTTAACATTTTGACCATCCCTACTTTTATGATACGTTCCTAAAGCTTTTAAACTAGCTGACATTTAACCCCCCAAAAAAACCACAACTTAATGCCAAAGAACTAGTAAATTATAGACCCATTTCAAACTTGCCTTTTCTATCAAAGACACGAGGAAAAAGTCGTATCTGCTCAACTATGTTCCTTCCTACAAAGAAATTATACATATGAGAAACTTCAGTTTATATTGAGCATTTCATAGCACAGAAACCGCACTGCTAAGAGTTACAAATAACCTCCTGTTGTCCGATCATGATTTAAGTTTAATTAAGGCTCAGTTTTTGGTCCCTTACTCTTCACACTATATATGCTGCCGCTAGATGATATCATTAAAAAAAACATGGAGTTACCTTCCACTGTTATGCTGAAACATAACTTTATATCTCCTCTCAGCCAGATAACTTGTATGAATTTACGAAATTAACATTGTATAGCTGATATTAAACACTGGATGACTAATACCTCATTACTAAATTCAGATAAAAAAATCAATGTCAAAAGCCAGCAAAAGAGAAACTTTGAACAGAATGTGAGCTGGAGGTGCTGCTTTCGGAGGTAGACCGGAGAAAAACAGTGTTATTTGCAAGTTTGTTCTATGGAATTAATAACAAAAGAAAAAAAAAAGTGGGAGAGTTTAGCTGACGCGGCTAACACAGTTAAATCTGAACATCGCACTGAGTGGATTTAAAAAAGAAAAAGTGAGATTTATAGGTGCAAAACGTTGCAGTACCCTTAACTGTCTGGGTGGCGCAGCTCGTTAAACGCATGTCAACATGTTTGGACACGTTCAAGCATGAACTTGGTTCGAATCCAGCGTCTGATGAAGTTGTTCTTCTTTTTTTCCCCTGCTACATATCAGATTTTGCCTACTGTTTATCACGAGGAAGACAAGTAGGAATCATTTATTAGTCTCTGCATCATGTTTTATTTGCACATTTATTGAATGGAAATGTTTCTGATTCATGCATGCAAATTCATCTTCAGATAGTGTCTTTATAGCAATGTGTGTGCAGTAGATCGCTCCGATTAATTACATTGGGGAAACTGGCGACTGCTGCAAATTGCGCTTTAATGTTTGGCTGCTCAACTGTATGGTATGGAAACCTTATATACCTGCTAGATGAACCTGTCTCATACAGCTGCCATTGCACGGCTCAAAGACACTTTGTAGAGAGCAATTTAACACAACTGCCTCTAGGAGTCGCCAATGGAAATAAAACAGACACGCACAAAATATGTGCGTACGCCAGCAATGAAGTTGGCGTGGAGTTGTGCACATTCCCATGTTCAGTTCATCGTTATTAGTTCCAAATGTGAGCGATTCTGAGCGTGAAACCTGGCGTACGCTAAGTTTTTGTGAGTACGCAGCGTTGATACATGAGGCCCCTGGTGTATTATAGCCCCTCCATGTCCACTACGATCAATTAATTCTGGACTATTGATTATTCCCAGAATATCAAAATCAGCTGTATGTGATGGATCTTTCTCATATCTGGCACCTAAACTGTGAAACAGCCTTCCTAGCACAGTTCGGGAAGCAGACACACTGTTAGTTTAAAACCAGATTAAAGACGCATGTCTCTGCATTAGCATACACCTAAAACATTAATGCTGAAGAAATCCAAATCCTCTAAAGGATTGTTAGCCGCATTATTTAGGGCAACCGGAGTTGGGAACACTTCCATAAAGACATCATAGTTTAAATGGCATCTGCGCTCATGTTAGTCTTTATTTTTTGTTTTTTATTTTTTAATTATTCCTGAGGCCCTGGATCAGGATGTTTCCTGAGCAGCTGCTGTGGTGGTTATGGAGGAGTGCAGAGCCGGTGACCTCTCCCACATGCAGCTTCATGACGGACGTCCAGGAGAAATGGTCGTGCCCAACTGAGCCCAGTTTCTCTCCAGATTTTTTTTTTTCCTTTTGCCAATTGTTGGAGTTTTTTTTTTTTTTTTCCTATTTCTTTTTTTTTTCTCCTCTCGCCACTGTCGCCACTGGCTTGCACGATTTGGGTGTTGTGGAGTTGTGAAACTATGTGTTTGCTC